CACCAAACCAGGTTTTCATAAAACAGTCTGTAAGTAAAGATGTGAGTAATTCTGAGAAAACACCTGTAGATTCTTGGCAATCTTGGGCAGAACAGTTTTAAAAAGCTGTCTTAGCCAAACTTGAGAGGGAGAATCAGATTCAAGGTGATAGGAATGAAAACAGACATGGTTCTGTACACTGGCAGAATTCTGATGCTGATCAGGATTGTGACAGTGAACGAGAAGCTCAGAGTGATGGGAGTGAAAGTGATTGCACTGTCCACTCTGAAGGCCATGTAACTGATATGCCATCTGCACTGTTGTACGGGTCTTATTCCTCTTCAGCAGACAGATCGCATAGACGTTTACCCAAACACAGAAACAGAGGTCGTAAATCAACGATGCCTATTTATGAAACGCCAAAGGTCATCAAATTCCTTAGAGAGACTGTCCCACAATTTTCTAGAGGTTCAGGAAACATATCTGAACATCTGAAAAATTATGATAGGCCAATGAATTCATTGGGCATGTACGATGACATTCATAAGAAATGGTTCATTACATGGACCTTTGATTCAATGTGTCGTGTTTATCTAGAAAGTCTTCAAGCTATACAGTTAATGTCCTGGTCCAAGATGAAATATGAAATAATCATGGAATATGGTAAGTATAAAACCATTGCTTCTGCAAAGAAGGCGCTTTATAACTTAAAGTGCCTTCCAGATCAAAGCCCCAGAGAATTTTTAATAATTCTTAAAAATGCATACTCCGTGGTCCAAAGAAAACCCAGATATGAAAGCACAGACTTCAAAGATCTGTATTTTCATGCCATGCCGGTAAACATACAAATGAATCTCGCAAGAGATTACGATTGTAAGTTACCATTAGAATGGCTAGTCAGTCAGTGCATGAAAATGTATACTATACACCATGCACATGACGAAAATCAGCCAAAGGTTAAGAAACCTGGTGATAAAATGGTGTCAGAGACTAAAATTCAGTTAGGTGTAGAAACCCAACAGAAAAAGAGGACCTATTCCGAGGTTTTGAAAACACCAAAACCTCAGAAACAGGAAAACGTCGGAAGCAATTCTGTAAATTCCTCTGAAAATAACTCTGAAAAGTCCAATGTCAATGGGAATAAACGCCCCTGGGTTAATAAGAACCAAGGCAATTCCCAATGGAGAAGGAATCCTCAGGGAAATAGGAGATATGGAAACAGAAACAACCAATCTGCTTCCAATAACTCCCAACAGTCTCAGCCATCCCAACCAAATTCTAATGGGCAAAGACAAAACGGCAATGGGGGAAATAATTTGCGTCGTCAGGTTGGTCAATTGACAGACCAGGTGGGCAAATTAATGGAGGAAATGACAAAGATTAACCAAGTCTTTGCCAGAAATCCTTTTTTAGGGATAACTCCAATTGCAGAGCCACCTGTGCAACTGCAGCAACAACAACAAGTGCCGCAGCAAATATAGCTTCTGTGACTAAACAGGCTAGGTTATCAGTAGATGTAATGCCTAACCCTGTTTCCTTTCCAGGTACTAACAGTCAAACAAACAATAGTTGTGTTAGAAAACCTATTGCCTATACCGTCACTTCACTTTCGGGTGAAGGAGGCGCAACGTGTTCCTCTGTTTTTTTATTTCAGCCAAAGGCTAAAATAGCCCCAGCAGCCACTAGTTTCCAGGATCCAGACCTGAAAGGGTTAACTGATGAGATGCCGACCACTAGTTCCCGCTTGACAGTTCAAGATATTCCTAAAAAGGATGGGCCTGTGGATAAGACTGAGCATTCCTCAGTACAGGTAGAAACTACTGCTGTGACCGGTAATATATGGAAAACAAGTAATATGTTGGCACATTCTAACTTCTTATGTGAATTAGAAGAACATGAAGGAAGGTACTACATGTCTGTAGAAATACAGGATTCGCTACCCCAGCCTTTTAAAGGGTTAATAGATACTGGTTCACAAGCCACTATCTTATCCAATACCTACTTCCAGCAGGTAATGGACTTAGCAGCGGATAAGCCGAAGCTAAGAGATTTCCCCAATGCTCTGTTGAGTGTAGGAGGAAATGCCCTTCATATTATTGGCAATACCTGGTTAAAATTTAAAATAGGTAACAAAACCTTTAGACACCCGGTGATAGTGGTAGATCTCCCCTATGACCGACTGATTCTGGGTATAGACATACTCAGAATGCTTAACACAATTATTGACTGTGTGAATGGAATTGTATGGTCACAAGCTCAAGTTCCCATAGCCTATGAGAAATCACATGTACAATCTGATCGTAACTGCCATGTGATAGAAGAAAGACCTGACTCGATTGAGGTACATTTTAGAAATAGTCAGTCACCTGACGTGACTATCCTGCAGGTGAATGATGCAATCGCACCTGTAGATGAGCACTCCGTAAGAGTTGCTCCAGAGAGGATCCAGAATGTCTCTCTGGAAGGTGATGTTTTAACCATTTCTCTCCACAGGGACTATGTTGAATCTGTAGATCTGGCAGATCATGCTCAATTCCTTGCCAGAATTGAAAGGGTTAATAACAACTTATTCTTTCCTATGCAAATAAATGACTTAGGAAGGAGTAGGAATGCAAAGCTGGACTTACAGAGTGAGAACAGCTATATTAGCAGAAGTCTGTTAAAGCAGATCGCTAATCCTAAAATGATCAGGTACGCTTCCCCACATGACAGGTGGATCCAGAACCTGGATGGCGAATCAGAGAGTCACAATGTGATAGCAAAATGTTTACTATCTATTTCCATCGGAAATAAGACAGTCAAACATTTATTCCTAGTGATAGACGAACCTCGCTATCAGGTTTACGTTGGCAATGATGTCATACATCGCTTTGCCATACACCTTGACCTGATTAATTCCAACTTGTGGACAAGGTTAAAAGGTAATCCTTGTGGATACCTACACGAGGAAAACGCCCTGAAATCAGGACAAATACTCCCATATGCGGTAAGTATCCAAGTTCCTGATGACATAACCATTCCACAGGGGACAAGTAACTTTCTTTTACCCCTACAGGTCAAGGAGGGTCAGAGATTGGAAAACTCTGATGCCCTAATCTGTTTATCCAACAGGATACAACAATTAGGGATGGTGGTAACACATACACCAATGGTAAGTATTGGTAAGAATCCCACCTATATCATGGTCAACAATGTTACACCCAATAGTGTTACTTTACCAAAAGGAACATTATTAGGTCTAGCATTGGATGCTGAGTACTATACATTTGGTTTCCAAAACCAAATTATAGGCCTCATCCCTGAAGAATACTTAACTGAGGACGAAATTGTCGATCAAATATTCCATTCCTCCCCAGAAGGATTATTCACTATCCTATTTGTATATCCCTTCAATGTTGAAGAAGGGTCGTGTAAAATCGAAGAAGCATCTATCACCTTCGATCATCCGCTCAATGAGCAGGAATCACAAGAGTGTCATGACCAAAGAGAAAAGGTAAGTCAACACCGAACTGACCTAACTTCTAGGCTTGAAGAAGCTTATGAGATAGGCCAGCCTGAAATCTTTCCAGGATTTCTGGAAAGGCTATAAGAGCAAATATCTTTAGCTGACGGTTGCTCCAACGATGCTGAGTGGCAACAGCTAAAGGAAATCCTTTTGGAATTCCAAGATATTTTTGCCAAAGATTCCTACGACTGTGGGTTAACTAACCTCCACGTAGCCAGAATACAAACTGATCCAAATTTACCACCTGTATTTATCAAACAATATAGACTCCCATTAGCGTCATATGATGGTCTACAAGACATCATTCAGAATTTAAAGGAGAGGGGCATTATACGTCCGGTGCACAGTTCGTATAATAATCCGATCTTGGGGATTCTGAAACCTAATGGACAATGACGTTTATGCGCTGACTTACGACAGCTAAATAAACGCGTCTATATGTCTGGTTGGCCAACTCCATACATAGACAAATGTTTGGTACAAATGCAGGGATCCAAAATATTCACTGCCATTGCAGATGCGCAGGGATATTGGACTGTACCAGTCCATAATGAAGACCAGTACAAATTGGCCTTCACATTTGGGAAGCAGCAGTATACCTGGACCCGTATGCCTTTTGGTTATATAAATGCTGGTCATGAATTCGCTGTGTTCATGCGTAAAGCTATGCCTGACGCACTTGAGAGAGGAACGTTATCATATGTCGACGATGTCTTGCTGAAAAGCACTTCCTTTGATAAGCATATCTTAGAGATTAGACATGTTCTCACTCAGTTAAGAGAGGCAGGGATTAAACTGTCTTTACAAAAGGCGCAATGGTGTCGCACCCATGTCAATTTCCTCGGACATGAGGTAACTTCTGAAGGATTAAATCCCCAGAGGAAGAAGATTGAAGCCGTACTAAAGGCTAAAACACCTTCAAACATCAGGGAATTAAGATCGTTCCTTGGTATGACTAACTACTCCCGTAAGTTTATAGATAACTATGCAGAAATAACGAAACCACTCTTACACCTGCTTAAAAAGGAAACTACCTGGAACTGGGGGGAGCCTCAGGACCAAGCGGTAAGTGAACTGAGGAGGAAGCTCACTCAGGCACCCTGTTTAGCATACCCAGAGGGGGGTAAACCCTTCTATCTGGAGACAGGTTATACCGACTTAAGCATCAGTGCTGTTCTGTATCAGAAGCAGGACAGTTTAAACAACGTTACTGCATATGCTAGCAAGACTTTGTCGCCTGTTGAAGTTAAATTCAACACGTGTGAGAAGGCGTTATTGTCGACTGTCTGGGCACTACAAAATTTTCGTAGCTATATCCAAGGTGAGAAAATAATTGTAGAAACAGCTCACCAACCTCTACAGTATCTGCAGAGTGAAAGAATTAGAGATGGTAATCTCTCTAACAGTCGGATTACTGCATGGACTCTATCCTTACAGGGATGGTCGTTAGAAGTCCGTTATAAACATTATAAGAGAAGCACAGTTGCCCAAGGTTTAGCAGAATTACATGACTGTACTGCTCCATCTCTGGATGATAATGACACCGGAGATGACTTCCTAGAAGAGCAATTGCTATCTCCTTATAAAGTTTATGACGAGGAATACTGTCGACCACTACCGTGGGTATACATTGATGGTTTAACAGAAAAGTAATGGGTCAGCGCTAAAAAGTCAGTAGAAGCTAAAAAACAAATGGGGAAGCAGCAACCTATAATAATGAGGTTCCCTCTCTTATCCTCAAATAAATGGACGAACAAAAGAAAATATATAGGTTGCGCTATATGGTAATAGATGTAAGAGTAAATGGGATGAGACAAATATATAAATAAACAGGAAAAATGATCCCAGTACTAAAAAGTCTTTAATAAAACCTGTGGAAATACTGGAGTATAGAAAGAGTCCAATAGGTTGCTGGGTCTTCTTATGTTGGAGGTGTCTCAATTCGGTAGTAGATATATGAACATGTAAGAGAAACAGAGAAACTCCAATAGTGCAGACTGTAAATCAGCAAATTGATAGACAGAAAATTCTCATAGCAGATGAGCCACTCATCTATTTCTGAGCATAAACTAGCTCAAGTGGTAATAGCGTCCAGTGGCGTTGATCCTCCACTGGTAGGATATAGGGGGTGAAAGTATGATGAGCTCCTCGGTATATAGAGAGATGGAGAGACAATATAGTGCTCACTGAATAAATGAAAAGGTAAAATAATAAGAGCAGTAGAATACTCACATATATATGAGCAGGATATACTGCTCACTATAATGGTGTAGGTGGTATTATCCCCACCTAGGATTCTTGAACATATGCGTGTTCCGATGTAGCAGGTACCAGGTTTCAGAATAAAAA